TGTCCCCTGACTGCCCCCCCGGGACACCCTGCCCCTTACCCAATCCCCTGGCCCCCTTACCATGCCACTCAGACCAGCATGTCTGGCAGCCGCGCCGCTCAGCCGGAGCCAGACATGCTGCTGCGCTGCCCTGCAGGAGCTTGCAGTCCCACCACCCAGAGTGCTGCCTGCACGGCAGCATGGCTGCAGGGGAGGGACTGGGGGCTAGCCTCCCCGGCCGGGAGCTCAATGGCCAGGCAGGACGGTCCCGCAGGACGGATGTGGCCCGTGGGCCGTAGTTTGCGCATCTTTGATTTAATGCATACACACATGGAGATAGAATTGGAGTTGTAATCATAAATTGGGCATTTCCTAACTTGCAAGTGTTTGTCTTTGCAACCTAAATAACATTTTTAACTATTAATTTGATGTGTAATTTCTTAGGGTTTTGAATTTGTTTTTAAGTAAAGTAAAAGATAAAATAAACTGTGTGTAACTTTAACAACTTCCACCTCACATAATGAATCAGGAGTGTCTGAACCTGAACCTTCAGTGCTGAAGCACAGATTACTACTATGTGAGCTACACAGCTAAACATATTAGCTGGCTCCAGAAGAAGGCTATTTTCCCAAAAGAAGGGGTGAGTTACCAGGTCTAGAGGTGAAAAATCCAAGGAAGTGTAGCCCTGTCTGGCTCCTCCTACCCCAATCCCTGGTATTAGGGGAACTCTTGTCCCAAGTGTTTCCCCACCAGAGAGGAGACTGGTGTCATGCACTGGATCTAGGGGTAGCCTGGTAGGGACCATCCTGTCTCTCACTCCATCCCTCCCCAAGGGATGGAGGAGCACTTGCCCCATGGAGGCCTGTAGGGTTTACGAGTGAGCCCAGACCACCTCTCTTTTAAGTCCCCTCTCCTTCCCCAAAGGCCACTTTGACAGGTCACTGGGTATTCCCTGTTCAGCATGTGTTACTGCTTTAACAGTGGCATCAACCTGGCCTAGGGTGACCAGATGTCCCGATTTTATAGGGACAGTCCTGATTTTTGGGTCTTTTTCTTATACAGGCTCCTATTACCCCCCACCCCTGTCCTGATTTTACACATTTGCTGTCTGGTCACCCTAACCTGGCCTCAATGTTCAGTGACTTGGGCAGTCTTGTAACATTTTCCTGAATACAAATGACAGAAAGGAAATGGCAATATTTAACACTATCTCTCAGGCAAATTTGAATGCTGTTTCATGAAACAAAGAAAAGAAACTTCTGTAGCCCAAAGAGATTCCTCCTGTTAAATATCAAAGGCTTGCTGAAAACAACAGAGGAGAGCTTCTCAAAGAAAGGTCTCAAGAATCCTTTATAACAAAGTTAGGCAAACTTAATGTAGACGTCACTACTCCCCCACAATTATCATTCATTCTCAAACTCTCACTTATAATTTGATCCAACCAAACTAGGTCAAAGTCTTTAGTAAAGTTTTCTTCTAGACCTGACAAAATCTTTTGGATTTTTACTGCATTAATAAGTTTTAGACAAACTAATCTTTGGACTTTTCTTCCATTCATTCTTTAAACCTGTCTAAATGATGCTTTATAACTTACCTTGATGGATTCCAAGAAATGCAACTGCAGCTTAGCTTACATGAGATTTCATGCTGCAGTGACCACTGACTGAGATTCATAACATCAGGAGCTTCGTATATCCTCACTACTCCATCTGCCGAACAGGTTGCTAACATAAGACCCATATGCTTGGGAGCAAACTTCACATCTGTAACAGATGTCCTACTGTCTACCAGAGTGGTCCTTTTTACCTGAAAGTAAATGCAGTAATCATTGAAGAAAAAAACGCTTCCATCAATTATTTAGTTACCAGTTTATGATGCAGTTGTGTGGCCATATAAATTGTCATGTACTAGTGCTCCAAGGTCTAGAGTTCTTAAAAATCCCTAAGGGCTTGCCTACAGACACTTTCAGCACCAGTGTAACTATACTGGTTAAGAACCATATACAGTTCAATTAGTCCAATCTATTGTGGGCACAATTATATCCATATAAAAGTGTTAATATTGATATAGCTTGATTAGGTAAGTTTACCAAAACCAGTTTCTAACCAAATAATTAAATCAGTGCACAAACAATGTATGTAGGCCAGTGAATAGCATCAAGCTCTAAGTTTGGAAACAATCTTGAAAATGTGGAACAAATGTGCACTGACAAGTATATCTGCCTGAATTTTCAGCCAACTTGAAACTATATGTCCGGGAGATGTGAAATACTCTGTTCATATAAATGGAGATGCTGACTGTGAGGCCTAATGATGATGTTTTCAAATATCAATATTGTTAACTATTTCACTGTTGATCATTTTAGAAGGAACATCAAGATAATATACTTCTTTGCTCTTGGTGATAGTTTCGGGTAGCTACAGGGGCCAGACAATTTGTTAAGATTTATAGGGATGAGAAATTTCAATCTCTTCCCCCCTATTTAGGGTAATCATCCCTCTAGCCAAAAAAGTGAAAGAGCGAACGTGCACACAGAGATACATTTGTGCATGCACACAGAGGTACATTTCCTCACCTGTATCAAAGCATGTTGCCTGTGCACTTAAAAAACCCACCAAAATCAGCTTCCACACCTGTTTTGAGGTGCCAAAAGCCGTAAATATCCCCTGCGCAGAAGTCAAACCTTTAACTTTTCACCCACCCATGATATTTAGGGTAATTATACATTTTGAATACCAAAATCTTTGCACGTTAAATTTGGTAACAGCCTAAAATGAGCTGAATATCAAAATAAAGGATACCATACTTATTGTTACATGCTGCACTGAGTGTGGGGGTAGGTGGGAGCAATCGTACATAATTCTGGGATTTCTGCTGCATAGGAAGGGTCTAATGTGCAACATAGAAGATTAGAATTTTGAGGTAAAAATTTTTTCCTCAGTGAATATTTTTTGAACAGAGAGAGGGAATACCAAAGTAAAATGTATAATATAAAAAGGCTGCAAATTTAGAGGTACACTCATCACTCTATAATGAAGTTGAGAAAAGGCAACAGGTTAGCTTGATGTTAGGAAACACTTCTTAATAGTGACATCTATTTGTCAGGTTGCATGCTGAAAACCATGCCAGTCATTTAAAACGAGCTTAGACAAAGCACAATCCTAAATTAACAAGGGCAATTGTCAAATAAATGACTATTATTTTATAGTAACAGAAAAGCTTCATGGAAAAGGACACTCTCTCTAGCTCTATTTGGGAACAGAAAATGGGTTGAAGAAAAGAGAACTCTCACCAAGTTACCATACTTGCAGTTTGGAACAATTTCTAATTTAGCCAAGTTCAGTCCTCTACAGGGTGGATAAAAATCAATTATTTAAAAAAAAAAAAAAAAGTTTTTTTTTAA